CTCTCTCTCTCTCTCTCTCTCTCTCACTCACTCTCTCTCTCTCTCTCACTCTCTCTCTATGGTATATCCCCTAAACACACATATACACATCCAAAACTTGGCTGTACATCGGTAAATACAGAACTGAGAACCTTCTTCAGCCCCTTCCTCCATCTGCTACCTTACCAAAACTATGAAGCATGTAAAGCCCCTACCACAAACATTAGGTACCTCCTACCACACCATCCTGTTGTCACCTGAGCCCACATTTCTTCCTAATGTTGTCCCAGGAAAATATTTAATGTTGTCATTTTTGCAGAGTTATGAAATAATTTCTTGTACTGAGAGCTTATTGCTTGCCTGCTTCCCAAGCAGTTTCTTCTATTTTTGGTACTGGTGACATTGGAGCTACAAGTGTATGGCTTGCTCTACTTTACAGCAGCCCTAATACCATTTGACTATATTTTTGTGATATAATAAGTAATTTTGTCTGGTGATCATCATGTTAATTAGCACTTAGAGAGTTTTTGAAAATAGTTTTTTTTTCCAAGCACTGTATAACTATTCCCTGGTTTTGAGGACTTTCAGCTCAACTTCCCTTGCTTGCTGTTACAGTACCCAATGTTTGTGTATAAAACCAAAGCCACAGTATAGTAATATAATCTTATTACTCATGGGGATATTTTAGATTCTCCTTTGCTGAAATAAGTATTAGAAATAAAGACATGTTCTAAAATGGAACATCACTTTGCGGCTCATGTTCTGTTACGTGAAATGTCTATTTGCTGTTTAAATCAGGTCTGTGCTCTCCCAAATAAACCAAACTTCTTATGTTTTTTTCCCCAAAGTGGCATCAATAATGTTCTTGATGCAAGATCAATTGGAATGAAAATATTTGAAGACTATGCCAGTTCATGGCATTGGATTTTAATGTAAGTTTATGCACAAATATTCCTACCTCCTCCATTCAGGTCTCAGAGGGTACAACATTTGGAAAAATGAATCATTTTGTGTGGTTTTCTAAACTCCTACCCCTAAATTCAAAGGGTGACTGGAATCTCCTTTTTTTCAATATGTATATCATGGCACTTTTCATGTTTCTGTACACATAGTGAAAATATAGTCCAATATCCCATTGTATCATCCATTAAAAAACCCTACAGCTGGTTTAGATAGTTTTATTTCAGCAAAAATGATGAGGCTTCTTTGTATTACCCACTTGTATTGTTATTCCAAAACAAAACGTGTGTGTGTGTGTGTGTGTGTGTGTAAGCTGGTTATGTTTGCTAAGGGATATTTGAGAATTTAATTGCTCTGTCACTTATAACATCAGCAGGCAACAAATAGTTAAGACCATCGTAAATTGGAGACAACCAATGTATTTGGCCAGTTAAACCCACCCCCCACACACATTTTTAATAGCCTTAAATGTGTCCTGAAAGGAATGCTGTTTTTGCACTAGCAATCTCATAAATCCCAGAGAACAAATTCAGCACTACTAACCAGTGAAGACCTGGCCATGAACCTGCAAAGACTTAAGCACATGTGTTGCTTTTCACTAGTTAACACACAAGTCAAAGGGACTTCTCAGTGTGGGTAAAGCTGAACATCTGCATAAAGCTTTGCAAGACTAGTAGTTGTAAAATGCGCACATTCATTACATATTGATCAGCCTGAAATGCAAATCCATAGACAGACATGACTTTTCATAAATCAATAGTGAAATGCACTTGGGATAATAACATATATGAGATTAGTCTTAAGAAATAGCAGTTATTAACACTTTTTACAGTAAGTTGATACATCTATTGATAAGTTGTCAACTTTCCAAGGCAGCTTGCTCACAAACACATAGTGGTGCTTAATTCTGCTTCCAATTAAGTCAATGGAAAAAAACCTTGACTGACATTCAGCAGCAAAAAGGTTGTATTCATAATTCCTGTTAAAATAGATGCGAACAGGACAGTGTCCAGCATTGTCCACAGGGAGACTTGTTTGAAAAGGTTACTGGCCACTTTTGAACTAGCTGTGTGGTACTTCTCAACAAGAGGTCACAACCCCTCCCCCACCCCCATGGTGTGAGGTTACAAGTCTACAGAAATTCTATTGGAAAAGATGAGCTGATGCTGAAAATGAGCACAGGAATGGGAACACACACTTGGAAGCAAGATCATGTGCCAGGAAAGGATTAGGAACTTCTGAGCCAGAGAGAAAAATTATATACGGATATCAAAGTTTTAGATATTACCATTTTTAAAAAATACTCTATGCTTCCAAAACTGTTGGAAGAATTTTCCTTTTTATTCTGATTTCAGAGTAAATTGGTCAGTTTTCAGGCCAAATATATTTTCCAAGCCGGAGTGAAAGGGGTGATACTTCTGAGCTTAATAACAAACGCAGGTAGGTAGCAACTAGGCCCCTGCTTTTCCACAGTACTTGGAAAGATCTGCAGCTTTAAGTTCTCAGGCCCTTTTCAAGACAGCAGATCTGTGGAGGACAGCTCCTGAGCTGTAGGTCCTGCATGGGCTCCACTGCTGGCAACGAGACTTTGGCATCTGCCTGTAGCTAAGCAAATGTGTAAATGGCTCCTGAATCTCCCCAGCTCCCAAACAGTGCAGTGATCTTTGGGGACCAAATTCCTCTGAATTATGATCACATCAGTGAATGGAAGGAGTTACCCTGCTGTAGAGCTCAGAGGAAGAGATCAAGCTGGATAGTGAGGAGATGTAAGACTATCTCGTGAATGTTAGGGTGACGAAATCTTCCAAAAAAACTTGAGGTTTATTCTTGTTCTCAACTTGCTGTTCACCTGTAAGTAGGGACCTTCTGGATTTGCCATTCTGTGGATTCCACAAAATCCAGCGTTTCCCAAAAAATATTGGCAATGCCTGTGGAATCCACAAAATCTGTGGGGGAAAAAAAATTACCGGGGGGGGGGGAGGGCTGCCAGCAAGATGGC